TACACAAATTTTAAAGAAATTGAAATCTCCATTAAATACTATTCTTAAGTTTATATAAGATTTATTATTTTTAACTATTCAAAAATGAAAAAAAATAATTTATCATTAAGCTTACAAATTTTTTTTTTCAAATATTTTTCCTCTCATATAAGAAAAAAGGAGACGAGAAAATTTTAATGAAATCATAGATTTAGAGGAGAAGGAAACTCAATCATCATCGAACAGAGGCAGAAAATTGCTGCTTGAACTAAAACATTCCGCGACCTACGCCAGCGAAGCTCAATCGATTTACCCAAAGCCCCAGCAGTTATATCGCATCTACTTAAAATAAGTGAAACTTGAACTCTTCAAGGAACCATCCGATTGCTAGATTATGATTTAAGTTTCCCTTCAATTACAGTTCGAACCTAGAGGCGATCGATTTAAACTATCACATTAACGTTCATTGAAGCTGAATTATCTTCTTATTGATTTAAAAGATACTGCAAAAGAGAATCCTTTTATAGAGATTTGCTGAATATTTTCTCTCTTTGATGTTGTATGATTATATTTTAAAAATTTTACAACAAAATTCAAATATAGTATCGTGTATAAAAGGAATGAAAGAAAAATCAATTTTACCAACATTGAAATAAAAAATAAACAAATTTCTATGTCATGGCGAAAGGAGGTAATGAACTGAAGAGATTTAATCTCGTATATGAGCACCACGAAATTAAAATCAACCTCAAGGACATACTTAAATCGCTAAGAATTTCATGAAAAGCAGCATTCAATATATTTCTTAACATATACTATTTTCGCAATATTCATTCATAAATATTTATAGTTTTAAAACATCAATTAGAATTAAAACTCAAAATCCTTAGAGAAAAATTTTTGATACAATAATTTTAATTTTGATTTTGATTTTGATTTAAAAGATTTTGATACAAGTTCAATGTTAAAAAAAAAATTGCAAAGATTCTTTATACACAATAAGAAAGTCATTCTTGGTTTTTTAAATGATATTTCATGGTCAATACACTTGAAAGTATAAAGCATTCAATCAAAATCTTGGCAAGAAACCAAGTAATCTATGAATGTCCAAATGAAAATCAAAAAATAAAACAATACAAGATTTTCTTGACATTTAACTTTAAACTTTACCCAAGAAATTTTGTATTTTTCACAAAAAAAAAAATGAAATATTATAAAAAATAAACGTGTAATTTGTCAAAATACTAATCGACTAGTTGTTTGTCAGTTCTGTAATTTATATACATAAATTCTCATATTTTGAATATTGTGACAAAATTTTTTTGAAAACATATTCTTCTATTATACAAACGCATAATATAAAAATTATTATTTTTTATGCAAGAGAATAATATTAAATCAATACTATTCATATACATATATATACATATATATACATATATGAGGTATTTTACGTGTAATGTCCTGAGTTAAAAAATTGATTTCTCGAAAAAAAGTGAAACTTGGGGACATAAAATCTTTGACATTTAATATCTCGAAAACAAAAAAAATCGGCATTCTGAAAATTTAAATACAGATCGGAAAAAACCTCAGCTTTCGTATGCAATTATTTATTTAAAAAAAAAAGCATCGATTTTAGTGAAAATAGCAAATTTATGTTTAATTATAGAAAATCAAGGTCAAAATTCAAAAATTTTAAAAAACAAAATTCACCATTGGAAAGATAAAAAAAAACCTTCAAAAAACATACCTGCCAAAATTTTTTTTATTGCATTTATAGACAGAAAAAATTTAAATAGTAGGCGGTGTCAGGGAAAATTGATAAAATTGACCCCCCCCAAAATTTCGAAAAAGTCAAAAAATTTTTTGGGGATATTTTACTATCAGGTAGGACAACAATTTCCCCAAGTTTCACTTTTTTTTCGAGAAATCAATTTTTTAACTCAGGACATTACACGTAAAATACCTCATATAGAAAAAGTATAAGTTAATCGGTCAAGGAAAGATACAAAAATTTGATAAAATGCTAAGTTGATTATAGATAATAATAATACGAACGAAATTGCGGATGAAAATAAAAAGAAAACGCGTTTCACCAGTAAAAGAGAGAGAGAGAGAATAATAAATTAAATACTCGGAATATTTTATTTCTCTGGAAATAAAATGAACTACATGACAAAAATCCAATTCCTCCTTATGAAAATGAAATTGTGCATGAATGGGAAATTATTTCTTTTTTACCGAAAATATATATTTCTGTACTTCATTAACAAGATAAACAGTGATATGTCTACACAAATGTTTTATGAATGAACTCATATAAGTGAAGATAACATATCTGAACAAATACTCATCCATAAAAGGGTCAATTAGAAAAAGATTTAGGTCGAGAGCAATATATATATAATATATTTCGGAACAATCAGGTATAAATTCAAAATCAATTCAACATATAACATTTTTTAATAAAAATTCTGTGATAAACAATATGTTTAAAAAACATTTGTAATCTTAAAAGATTATTAATATTTATATAATTGTTTATTTTTAGTAGGTAAATGATGTTAACCAGTATTTGGCCTAATGGCTTAATTATATTTTGTTCTTAAAATTTATAATTATAATCTTTGTAGATCTGATGAGGATGCAGTATACTGTATCGAAACGCGTCATATGATTTTAAGAACAAAATATAATTAAGCCATTAGGCCAAATACTGGTTACCATCATTTACCTACTAAATTAAATTATATGGCTTTTCAAAATTACTAAATTGTTTATTTTTAAAATAATTCTGAATCAATTAAAAAATACACGGAGAAAAAGAAAAAGTAATTTTTACTACTTTCAGAGTAAAACTGGACCAACTCGAAGTTTCTGCGCATCTCTGGCAATTTTTACTCCAAAAATAGTAAAATTTATTATTTCTGTAGTAAATTTTACTGTTTCCGTAGTAAGTTTTACTATTTCTAGAGTAAATTTTACTATTTTTGGAGTAAAAATTGCCAGAGATGCGCAGAAACTTCGAGTTGGTCCAGTTTTACTCTGAAAGTAGTAAAAGTTACTTTATAAAAGAAATCTTTTTTCTCCGTGTATATATTCTCGTCTACCTACATGTGGCAAATTTGAAAATATTAAAAGATAATTTCCATACTTATAAGTCTTGGTAAATTTTTTCATGTAATTAAAAAAATAAAATTATTAAATGTACATTTTTCTAAATTAAATTGTTTTAGTTGAATGAATTCAGGAAAGTTAAAATTAAACAAAACAATAGAATTTCTAAAAGAAATTTAAAAATTAATTTTTTTTGGGATGACCAATAAGATTATAGATTAAACATCTAACTGCCCCACGTGAAAATATTCCCGGGAATCACCCAGGAAACTCTTGGGAATATTTTCACATGGATGAGATTTACTGCATTTATGTTAATTTTAAATAAAAAAAACGCCGAATGATTTAATGATTCAATGATAATTAAATGATTGAATTATCAAAATTCAAGAAAATAAGATATTTATCTTTCTAATATATATATATATATATATATATATATATATAGACACAAATTCAAAAGTATTTACAGGTAAATATTTAATTTTTATTAATAACTTTTAACCTTATTAACAGTTATTATTTATTAAAATTTAAAAAACTTTTAATATTCCCTCCAATGCTTATAATAAATTAATAATCATTGAAATTTAATAATTAGTAATATTAATAATTAATACACTGAAAGAAAATATTTAACTAATTTCAATAAGTTTAGTAGAAATTTGAGTAAATATTTTGCAATTTAGGGTTAACGTATCAAAATGTGAAATATTGATGTAAAAATTATTAGAGTTCTGAAAATATATTTCAATCCTTATATATATATATATATATATTTTAGTAAATATTTACAAACTTCAATATAATTTTTAGTAATTTTAATAAATCTTTTTCGTGAATTAGTATTTTTTTATATTAATTTTTTCTATTTTTGCACGTTTTCCTTAAATTGTAACATATTTACTAAAATTTCTACTCTATTTATGTAAATTTCTTATATATTTTCTTTGAGTGTAATAATTTTTAATCTTTTAAAATATTCATAATTTATTATCTTATTGGGATAAAATAATTATGAAATTTTAGTGAATGTTTTACATCTATATCTTAGAATTTACATACAAATTTATTAAACGACTTAAGAAAACTGTACTAAAAAGCAAAATAACGAAAATCCGGTCATTGATTATTCACATTAATAAGAATTTACAGTCATTTTTCATTTAAGAATAAGTAAAAAAAGAAAATTCTTACTAATGTGAATTAATGACCCACTGTTCAATAATTTAATTTTTAAGAGTTACCGCAAATTAAAAAATCTGGTAAAAAAATATATATTTACGATTATTTAAAAACTGTCTAAAAGTAGGTAACAGTATTATTAGTTTTCAATTAACTTAATTGAGCGAAAAATTAATTCATTAATGTGGAAAATCTGTAATATAGAATAACATCATCATATTTCCAATAAGCTTTAAATGTAAATTTCCAAAAATTTAATATGTATATTGTTTATACATAAGATAAAAATCCACATATTCGTTTGTACTGAAAAAAAATGTTAAACATATATATATAAGTACAACTAGCAATCAATTGGCATATTTACGTCAGTGGTTCATTAATGTTATATTGAATGTATAATCGGCATTTAGTTTTCAAATGTTCTACATACGTAATACAGTTCACCTCGTATAATGAACTCGCACGCATTCTTTTCCATCAAATTACGCAATACGCATACAATTGCAAGTACAACCCCACTTAGCGAGCTGACTCGCTGCAATACAAGTGTCCTTGAACTTCTCGACTTTAATAATTTCAATCTATTTTTAATATGCTGGACATATTTACTGTATTGTAAATTATTTGAATTTTCAGAAAAAAAAATTAAACAAACCCTATTTTACAAACAAGAACACTAAAGGAGGCATTTTCTTTTCTATCCTATTACAACTAACCTGCTGATAGGGTGGAAGTTGCATGAGATCTCGTTCATCTGCAGATGTGACCTCGAACGTGGGTGTTGGTTGAGGTGGATATAAATTGCCCTTTCCAGGATAGGATGTGCTTCTTCGAAATTTCACTGGACTTATACTCGATGGATGACCCGTGGGAACAGGATGGCCGGGAAATGTTGGACTTGGCTTCCTGTTTTGTAGACCCGCTGCTGCAGCAACGGCAGCTGCAGCATGTAAAGACGAATGTAAAGGTGGTAGATTTGGTACAGATCTGCCACGACTCCAAGGTGATAATGCAGGAGTTTGAGCAGCAGCTTGAGGTCCACTACCCCATTGTTGTGGTGCTTGTGGACCTCCTGACCAGGCAGCGTAACCTTTCCCCTGTAAATAGACACCAGGGTGAGATGATTGCTGTTGTTGTTGCTGCTGCTGTTGTTGCTGTTGTTGTTGTTGTTGTTGAACGGACGGTGTTGGCAGACCATGCCTGCTACTTGGAGCTGCATTTCCATGTTGTGGAAAATTATGACTAGCTGTGATTGCACGTCGTCCAGTGGCACTGGAACCAGCAAAGAGGCCGGTACCACTAGTTGGAAAATTTTGAAACGAAGCGATGGATCCATTTACTGGAAGTGAGTGCAAACTGGAGTCATCTGGAGCAGCCCAGAGGCTTGGTACCCTCACCGGATCTGAGAAACCTTGTAAACTCGAAGTGGTATTGCAGGACAAATCCTTGTCAGGAGATGTGACATTCTGTGTTATGCTGATATTGTCAACATCCACTGAATCCTTTGATTTGTCCTGTCCAATTGTCTGATCTAAGACACCACCAGGTGAGAGTGGAGCAGTTTTCGCCGAACTCTGCTTCTCGATGAGCAAGTCGTCTTGCATTGTTGTTGTTGTGACAGTAATGGTTGCACTAGTGGAACTTACGGTGAATGGTTTGTTGGTGGGACCACAATTATTGGAAAAAAGACTTGCCGCACCAAAGTCCCCCATAAATCGTAAGCTAAGCGATTGTGAATTACTTGAAATCGGGTCACTATATGCTGATGAAATTTCACCTCGTGTCGGAGTGTGAATGTCACCAGGGGGTATTTCACCAACGTCAACGTCGTGTTGAGCTCGCGAGGCCACTATCGATCCACGCCACGCTCATCAAGACACGCACCAAAAACCCCGGAAGACCAAGAGGTTAGGGGGTTTCTAATTTGTTATCAATAATATTTTTCAAAATTGTGATATTGCCTCGCACACTAATCACTTTCTCGTTTCAATAAATACTAACGGATTATCCCAGTTGTTAATTGTGTCGGGTCATTAGAATAGAAACGATCATACATCATCTTCCTGATTGTCGATTCAAAGTCTTGAGTAATATTTACTTTTTTTTGCACACTCACTAGTCTTACTACGTTTATCAGACCTATAGAGAAGGGTTGCCCTCTTAAAGGAGTGTTACTTTATCACTAGTTAGCCCTACTTACCCCGCACGATGATTCCAATTTATTGAAAACAAATCGACACTCGCGATCGGCACCGTCGAACACGGTTCACCAAAAAAATATAATAATATTTGTTGAGAAAAGAAACCACGATACACTACGAATTCACGATATATCTGATGACACCAGGAAGTAAGGAAGGTCAGGGACGGTAAAGGGTAAATCTAAGGATTTCTACAACTCGAATGAGTCCAGGTGAGTTTTGATGAAATGATGTCCTCCCACCTCCACCGACCTCCACCACCACACTCCAGTTTAACGTATCTTCCTCGTGATGTAGAGCATTTCCACAACGGCTCGCTTGGGGTGGCGTGACCTGGAATAGCCGTTGTCGGTACTATCCTCAAGTCTGCAGTTACTCGGAGCTTGTCCCAGGTTGTTCTCTCCCCTCGGAGTCCTTGCTTCGCGCAGGATCAGCACTTCCGTCAGGAGAGTGGAGGCTATCGTTCAGCGAGCCGTGACGACAATATATACGTTTTGAGGAGGCGCGCGTTTCTACGTGTTTGTGGTTTCGGGATTCGAGTGTGTCTCGATAACGTTGGTGTGTGTTCGCGTGCGTGTTCGTATCTTGTTGAACGTGTCTTAAGGCGTCGACGTGCGGTTCGTGCGTGGTGCCGACTTTTGGAACACTGCGAGTGTAGCCCGTGCCAGGCCAAACCAACCGGAGTCTCCACGTAGCCGTGCTTGCTCGGTGAACTTCGGTCGTTGCGACGCGCGTCGTCGTCGTCGAACCCCACGCAAGCGCCCTCGAGCTCCACCACCTCGACCTAGTACTCACGTCGTCGTCGTCGTCGACGTAGTCGTCATCATTATCGTCAACAACCCATCGATGCAACACAAACCACTTTCCCCTCTCTGTATTATGCTCCAAACTTAATCACCGTCCTTCCTCAACTTATTGTTTTTGGAAAAAGCACGTGGAGTGTGACAGTCCAGGGGTTGAAAACCGATGAATGTGTATACACTTTTCGCAAATAGAATTTATTTATTGGTCCAAATTCCTAGCATCATCGACTTGAAATGATAACAACACACACATACACAGTAGATAGAGGCGACAAAAATAGCAGTAACCTTGTTTCCGCTTATCGCGTAAACGTCATTCTTATCAGTGGGACTGTTCGAATAATCGTACGACTTTTGATGAAAAGTATCATAGCGTTTTAACTATAAGGCTGACAATGCAAAATACTCATTTTCGAACAGGTTGAAAACAAGTAGTTTTAACGTTAACATATATCGAAAAGATATCAATCAATGATATAACCATAATCGTAAATGGATTAGATTCAGTAGCTAACTGCTTTGAAAATAGATTACTATCATGGAAATAAATGGTACTTTAGTCAAATATTGAAAATTCGAATATATGTTTTAAATTCTCATTATAAAAAAGTGAGCAAGTCACTAAATAACTCATTTCTTTATTCGATTTGTTTCTACTTATATGTATTTGATTGATGAGTCTTTATAATTTCGATCGTGAAAATGTTGTTTTCCATCCATTGTTATTTCCTACTCTGCTTTATCATCGTGCATATCTTTATCTTGTTTAAAAAATTTTCTTTCTAGGCTGCATTGTAATTCATAACGCGTTGTGTGTCGTCTATACGCATGCAGCATGTAACCGACCTGACCGATATTGTGAGTGCGATTGCGTAACTGGATGAGACCAAGTAAATGCGAGGCGCCACACCGTCACACAAACACATACTAGAGACTTTATTTACCTTATCATATAAAAAAAAAAAACTAAATGCCGATTTGAATTATAATTATATACACAGGTAAAATGTATTACATTTTAAATGTATACAGTAACGCACTGATCGATAAAATTGAACTTTTTTTTTGCTATAAGAGTAAACGTTGTTGATTTTTATAGGATTTTTTCTGTAGATTACAAATCTGCAAGTATAAACTTTTATTTCGTATTTGAGCTATTTATTACGTCGCGTTTTGTTCCTAAATAATTACGTCGATTATCCTGAAATGCTGTCAAATATTAATTTATATGCTCCAATTATAACACATAGAAAGCGGCCATTGTTTAACATAAATTTTCGTAAATCAAAATTTTCTATGATCTTCATTTACGACAGATTATGTAAAAAGGCAAACTCATAGGGGCAGACCGGAGCTGTTTGGCGCAGGTGTTGCTTGGCGCACTTGAGTTTATTCAAAAGTGTTAAGTTACATTAATTTTTCTCTTTATTCTGCTTAAAGTACTTGACGAACTGTAAGTTTGTACAAAATTTCATTAATATTCATTAATTATTGTGAAGTATAGATTAAAATAACTGATTTTGGCACTTCAAAGTAATTTTTTTCCCTCTTCATTTTTTTGTGATATCTCTTTAAAAAATTCATTTTAGAAGAGCTCAAATATTAAGTTTTGAGCTCGAATAATGGTTTTTAAATATTCACAGCGTTATTATAAAAAAAATATATTTTTTGGTAATTTTACGATTTCATTTAAATTAAATGAAATTTTCTAATTTTTATATTTATAATAATTTTATTGTAAAATTACAGTACAAGACTTATTTTGTTAAGTCTTATATTATTTAAACTTTAAATCATATAATTTAATTAATTTCTCTGCTGTGCCACGCAACCCCGGGCCGGGGTTGCTTGGCGCGCTTTGCACAGCTTCAAATAAAGTGGTATAAAAATAAAAGTATTAAATATATTTCAACTTTCTTTTTTTTTAATTAAAGCTGATATGTTACAACAAGTTTTCTATACAATAACTTTTTTAAAAAAAGCAAAAATGAGTGAGTTACACAACAAAGAGTAAAAAGTGCGCCAAGTAACCCCGGTCTCCCCTACTGCCATAACTTAAATTTTTTTAATTCCTCATTGAGTGGATTTACTACGTCATTACGTAAAAATTTTTTTATTTTTAATATAACTACGCTACCTTGTTTATATTTTTTTTATTTTTTGAATAATACTTATGTTGTATTTTTGTGATATAATTGAAAGGAAATTTTTTTTTTTTTTTGAAGATCCGCTATTTTGTTATTTTTTGAAATGACAAATTTTCCCTATGTGTTACCATCTGTCTACTGATACGCAACTTTTACTAATTTCCTTCATTTCTTATTAATTTCAGATACACCGTATGGGCACAATTCTGTCAACCAGCTGAGACACTTTTTTTACAATGTTAACTTTTCAGGGTTTAGGGGAGAGTGTAGGGGGGGGGGGGGTAAAATAATTATAAATTGATTCTATCGACTGATATTTGCTTCAATAAACTATGATAATAAATGTGGATATTTTAATTAAGAATTAATTATTAATTAATTGGATAGTTAAAAATTTTGAATTACTGCAAATTAAGTTATTGTGAATAAATTTTTAAAGTTAAATTAATTCAGCGTACAATTTTAATTTTATAGGTAATACAAACAAAAAAGAAAACTAAACATTTGTTGAAGTAAAGTATTGATTATCGTCAGATACACAGAAAATTATAAGGTATTAAAATAAGCTGCAACGCTTATTATTTTAATCCAATTTCGCTTATTTTAATACCAAAATGGATTAAAGTAAGCAAAATTGGATTCAAATAATAAGCGTTGCAGCTTATTTTAATGCCATTTAATTTTCTGTGTAATTAAAAAGCAAAAATAAATAAATTTTTAATCGATCTAAATAAAAGTTGACTGAAATTAACGATTAAGCTTAAAAATTGTGTTTCGTTAAACGAGTCTGCTCATGCATTTTGTACTTTTAAATAGTAGCACATTAGTGAAGATATGAAATTAATGAACTTGCTAACAATGTAACATAAAATTTAAGTTACGGTATAACAATTCGTTTACTGAAATCATTAAGCTGTTTACTTTGATAAATTCATGTAATCAGTCTTAATATTATGCTGCCTGCTATTATTAGTATTAGAATCACAGTTGCTTCTAATTATTCCACATACCACTTCATGAGTCACAATTTCAAAATCAAATGAAATAATATAATGGAATGTAATTAAGAATTTTCAAAAATGATCATTCACATTTCAGTATGTTTTTGCCATTTTATATGATGAAATTCCGCCATCATTTTCTACTTAAAAAAAACAATTAAAAAATAATAGTACTTTTATATTGATATATATCTTATATTATATTTTTACTAAAAACTATTTCATTTTATAGGGTAAGTCCGGCGCAGACGGCCATATGAGAGAAATGACCAACTTGAATATTCTTCAGAATTTGTTACTAAATGTCACTTATTATTGATATTCAACTTGATTTAATGACATAGAATGTAAATAAAAGCAAAAAATATGAAAAAAATGTTGTATGGAATATAAACCTTCTTTATCATTTTTTGCCAAGTTCTGAAAACAGGTGTTATGCACTGCAAAAAGAAGTATCTTATTTAAACCCTCTCGAATCCCCAAGAAACCTAGCGGTTAGATTTTAATGAAACTTGCCCAACGGAGATTTTTGAGGTCGCTGATTCCGAATTTAAAATCAGATTTTCAAAATGTCGGATCCAATATGGCAGACCTTTTTTTCAAAATTAATCATATTTGCTTGAAACTCACAATTTGGGGGTTTTTGGGGTCACTGATTCCGAACCCAACGGCAAATTTTTAAAATTCAAAATGGCGGATCCAATATGGCGGACAAATTTTTCAAAAATTCATCGGATTCACTTTAAATTCATTACTCGGGTGTTTTCGGGGTCGTATATTACAAATATGATATCTGATTTTCTATTCGCGGTCTTGGAGGTCGAGTCGACGATGAGCAGAGAATTAAATAGTCAAGCATTGATACACAGAAAATTGAAAGGCATTAAAATAAACTACAACGCTTATTATTTTAATGCCTTTTAATTTTCTGTGTAGACACCGAAAAGTCATAAATTGTTTATTCTGAACCCGATGAGAAACTTATAAATGAAAAAAATTAATATGAAGAATAACGGTCTACCAGTAAAGAGAAAAATTTCGTTGTTAATAAAAAGGATTGCCAACAACCACTCGATTATGAAAAGTTGTACCTGAAACCCGCGGGGCTTCAGAAAACCATGGAAATATTAAATTGTGAAATAGGTTTCGTCGATACCGATTGGGGAGCCAACATTGATGATAGATCTTCATATTCTGGTTTCACCTTCAAGTTTGCTGGAGCAAGTATTACTTAGGAGTCAAAGAAGCAACGCACTGTAAAAAGAAGGTATATATACTAACACAGAAAATTAAAAGACATTAAAATAAGTTGCAACGCTTCTTATTTTAATCCAATTTTGCTTATTTTAATACCAAAATGGATTAAAATAAGCAAAATTGGATTAAAATAAGAAGCGTTGCAGCTTATTTTAATGCCTTTTAATTTTCTGTGAAAATAGTACCAATTTTAGGTATTAAAATAGAACCAAAAGGCAATTTAGTACCTAAAGTTGCTATTAAATTAATACCTTTCATTTTACAGTGCGGACAGCACTATTGACGGAATTTTTGTGGTGTCAAAAATTAAAAATTATCGAATTTACATTTAGTAGAATTTTAAAAAAGAGATTTTATAATAAGCCTAATTTTAATATCGAAAATTTACTATTTAACAAAATTCTGATTTTATAGAATTTCTATTTATTCAAATATTTATGTTAAATTGTCATTTAACAGAAATTCTTCTTATGCTAAATTTTTAAGACAGCTATTTCACCGAGACTTCATTTGACCGAAGTTTCACTTATTTGAAATTAAAAATT